CGACTTAGAAAGTTTTTATTTTATTTTCGGCGTTCGTGTTGCATGCCACGCTTGCGATAAGTATTAATTTTCGAATAATAAAAATATTTGTTTTAAAATTCAAATTTTTTTTCTGTGTTGTTTAAATTAATGAAGTTAAGCATCACCTGCAAAGACGACGTGAGCGCACAGCTTGCTGCTTGTTCAGGTAGAAGAAATAATTTGTAAACGACACCCTAGTGTCAAAAAAATAATCACGACATAATAGAACGGTCAAGTGGCCCTTCACGAAAATATCCAAAAACATGCACAACAAAAAAAATAATGAAATAGTTGTTAAAGTTTTGTCCTCGGCCAAGTCACACTTATTTTCTATACAATAACGTTTCAATGAAAATGTATTTAAGAATGAATAGCGTCGTTTTGTTGAATTTAACTTGGTTTATTCAGTTTTATGTGTACGTCGTTGTTGTTGGTTTGAGGACTTCTTCAGTTACCGATCGCACCTTGATGCGCAGCACATCATAAATCAAACGGCACACCGACGTTTTATTGTGTTGCAATGAGCGTGAGCAAATTTGCCAAACGCACGACACGCATGCTAACACAATTGCAATATTTATTGTGAAATTGTCGTTTATCGCCGTGCAGAATGCGGAAAATAAACAAATTTACCAAGCGTGAAATTATTATGATCAACATAGGATTATTTCCAGCAGTAAAACTCAATCATATATTCTTTCATGTTTTTTGATAAATGGGTAAAGTAGGTATGACATTGTTTTAAATTCAAATGAATTGAGAATAAATTCGAAATGTGAAGGTTGAGGAATTTACATTCAGAAAGCACCTTTTTTGGTAATTACAGAAAAACTATTAACGGCACAGTAACCAAACTTTGCAGATACATACGTTTAGTAGTAAATTTAGGATCGAATAGTAAAAATTTGATGTTGTTTTGATAAACGTAAAATTAGTTATAAGCAATTAAAGATGCACATTTTTAAAAAACCTCAAATTGACACTAATTGCCTTGTATTTTTTTTAATTATCACCGCTAAAACCTAAATTTTTGTTGATTGAGTATTTAATACTGAATTAATTTTATTAAAAATCATCCGAATATATTTATTAGTTTGTGAGATATTAATTAATTACTGAAATTATTTTAGTGCAAAATTAAAATCAACAATATTTCCACCATAATTTCCTTTAAAATAATCAATAGTGATTAACAACATAACAATATTTTCATTGTATGTTTTGACACCTTCCCTTACCAACAAAAATTAATCTTTTATATCTTTTACTTTCCGAGTTGAAGGCGTTTGTTTAAAAATATTCACATTTTCTCTCCTCAAGTGCTCATCTTCCAATTTGAATAATTCATAAACGATTAAATTATTAAAGCATCGCTTGCATTAAAATATGAAAATATTAAACGATATCATACGCCATCATCTCGTAAACGTTAACAACGTTAACAACGTTATTATGAGCACATCTCCACCTTCGGAGATATCCAGTGTTCCGTGTCAGGAGAGATCAAACGTCAAAACAAGAAATACCTTAATATCTTCTTAAGTCGAGAGGAAATTCAACTCGCAACTCGCTGACTCGACGTAAAGTAATTTCTCAAAGTGCATTTACATCCCAGCGCGCACCGGTTGTGAGCGAGGTGGAACGACGCCTCGATGCTGATGAACCGATCACGACTCAGCGGGGGGTGCGCGCGCGCATTCATGAATAAATACGGGGTTCGTGTTAATTTCGATCAATTACTGACCAAACAGCTACAGTTTATTCCAGACACATCTTCATCATCAAAAAAAATACATAATGCAAATAAAAACGTGATTATTTGCACACAAAATATTTCTCACAGGCGTTTGCATCTGTCAGTCACAAAAATGTTCTTAGTAAAAATTAACCTCAGCCCTGTCGGCATTAAATTTTCCAGGTATTGTGTTTGCAGCTTATGCAAATGCTACGTTTCGCGAAAAAGTTTTTGACTTTTGTATGCGGCCGACACACAAAAAGCGACGATTTTAACGATATTACAGCATTTAATAATACACGCCGTATTATTAGCTACCTGCAGAATATGCAATGTATTGACGAGGTGTCAACTCGCATGTCGTTCACATGTTTATGCAAATTACATCCTTCTTTGAAGTCGGCATCGGCGTTTTCGGAAGTTTTTTGACTTTTCAACGCTTTTCATCTGAGCGCCCGTTATTTCGAGCGAAAAATACGCACACGTAGATAATGAGCATGCGCGTGACGTGTTATTACGCGACGTGTTTCGGCAACGTTTCGCCAAAGAAAGCGTCAAAAGCTGCGGATGGAAGCAGCTTTCGAGCGGTGGCGACAATGTCGTGTGTGTGTTTTTCGCGACAGTTGCACAATCGCACCTGTAATCTTGTCGCGCTGCGCGTTAAGCACTTTATTATCTTCGCGCTGGGCTATTATTTAAATTTTTTGCCGCACAATGACGAGGGCAAGGAAGGTGGTTGTTGTACACGAATGTTGCAAACAAAACATTTGCAATGTGGGCATTTTGACCTCAAAATAGGCTTAATTTGTAAGAAAATGGAGTAATCTTCTACATCCGGTATGTGCACCAAGTTATTTATTGTGAATATTTAAAATTTAAGCTTCCGGTTTGGTAATAATTTAGGATTATTTATTTTTTCTTGGTTTTTTGTTTGTTTTGTCCTAAATAAAAGAATTTGTTTATAGAAAAATTTTGCTAAAATTTCACAAAATGTTTAACATTTATGTAATTTCTGTGATAAATAAACAATTTTTATTTAAAATTACCAAACTATCAAATAAATTACTCAAATTTTTACTTAATATTTCTATTAATATGTAAATGTTTAAGAAAACTATCAATAATTACATTTTTTTCGATTTGTTTTGTGAAATATTTTATATTCTCAACTTCTTTTACTCTTTTGTAATTTATGATAGATATATCATCTTAAATGAAGTTTTCTTTTGTTATTTTAATTCTTGTTTTGTTCTTTAATTTCGTCCGTAGTGATTGGTGATTATTTTCACAGTTTGAAAACACCTTTAACCGTTTACACGTCGCGCAGCAAGCAGAAAATTTATTTAATGAGCCAAAAAAACAATAATTCAAAGCGATTGCTATACATTCACACCGGGCTCAAGACTACCTATGCGTCGATGAACCAATAAAACTCGCTTCGCTCTCGAGTGCATTGGTATTGGTATTGGTTAGCAATAATTTATTGCCGAACGCGAAGAAGGCCAACAAATGGACAGATGCAACGGAGACTCCGTGTTCCTCAATGTTCACGAGTATATTGCTTGCGCGGTTCGTTTTGTAAACACGAAATGAAACCAAAGCAGAACCTGAAATTCTGTACGCTTCGGATGGTGAGTGTCTGGTGTTCGGAATGCCAATGATTCATGAACGATAAATATGTATGTGGTATTTGTTTTATTTTTATTTTTTCAAGTAGATATTTTAGAATAATAAATTTTTTAATGCAGAAAATTAGATTTTTATGCATAAGGACAAGAAAACACCCCAAAAGAAAGGTAATTTTTAATGGTACAATGAAAGAAATTATCTTATCAGTAGATATAATTTGTTGTGACTAAAAGGTGCGCGTTTCGAGCGCGTTCTGCTCGTAAAATAACTCGCAACGATTTAATTTACGCGTGTTCGACCATTAGGAACCGTGCAACGTACACGAGAGGACAACGTCGATAAGATAAGCGTCTCGCACCTGTACCACCGAAAAAAATTTCAAGCATTCCCAATGGTGATTCTCCAATTTAAAGATGCAGCGAAATAAAAGACAAAAGAATGTCGAAACCAGAAAACAAGAAAGTTTAACACGAAATAAAAAATCGTTGGGTCGTCTTAATTGGACGATTAACACAATCACCAGGTGTGTTGTAGGTACACAACGCTTTCTGCAAACGCAGAAAAACTCATTATAACTTAATATATTTTCTCTATCTGTTGTTTATAGATCATTTCGTTTCATATAAAATCCAGTGTGGCGAAAGGTGCGTAATTAACATTTCGTTAATTATCGTTTTAGTGAAAAGCGTCTCAAATCTGCTTCGAAATTAGATACACCTATATTATAAAACCATTAAAACGAACTCGGATCATTTAAAAAAATAAAGAATAAAAAAACACCGGCGCTTCTCTTTCTAATATTTATGTTTCCGAAATGAAAACTTCTTGAGACTATTAAAAATAGATGTGAACACATCACGCCTCTCATAAATCCTAAACTATTGTATAATGTTGAATATAACCTTAAAACATCAGTGGCGTAACAAAATTTTAATTTAATTTCGTTAAACTTTGAGTTTTTTATTGGTTACGCTAGTGATTTCAAGGTTAAGTTTGGGTGGTTTAGGCTAAACGTTGAAAAATTATTGTAGGTGTGTCCAAAGCAGTTGAAAACCTTTAATTAGTATGATATAAGTTGTTCCAAGAATCAGCCTGCTCCAAAACGCCCTTGGAACATATGCTACGACCCCAACAGGTAGAAACACTATTTTTCTTTTCATTTTTTAAAATATTAAACACAAAAATCAACAATTTAAAACATGTATAATATCTTTGTGTAATCTAATTTGAATCTCATTTAATCCGCGTCTAGCCGCTTGATATGTCCACAGTCGAGGAAGTCGAAGAGTCATTATATCATCCACTTATTCCAGCGACCGCAGGCTCACACAATCTGCGCGCCTAATCGCTTTTGAAATATTAATAATTTAATATGCTAATATTGCTAATGTGTCATGTCGGATGTGAGGCGTGTGGTTACGGGCGCGCATTTATGCGCGTTACAGTTATCCACGACGGCGCGACTCCGGTAATTAATTACTAAGCCATTCAATATGATATCGTATTTATTGCGCTGAATACATCCAGAGATCAAGCCTCAACGTGCTCAAACATGTTTTAATTAATTAGCTGGATAATTAACTGTGTTTGTTTAGATATAAAAATATACACTTACATTTTATCACAGGAGTGGAAGTTGCTGCTGTAGTGGTGAACTCGGCACACACTCTGAACGGCGTGGACTGTGAGTGTGTAGCACACAAATGTGCATCACGTGACTTTGTTACGCGTTGTCATAGCAACGGGTAACATTGCTGATGTAGTGGTGAACTTAAAACACACTCTGAACGACTGTGAGTGTGTTGCACACGTATGTGCATCACGTGACTTTGTTATGCGTTGTCATAGCAACGGCTAACATTACTGCTGTAGCTGTAGTGGTGAATTCAAAACTCACTCTGAACAACTCTGAGTGTGTAGCACAACAGCTAACATTGCTGCTGTAGTGGTGAACTTAAACCACACTCTAAACGACTGTGCGTGTGTAGTACCCGAGTGTGCATCACGTGACTTTGTTACGCGTTGCCATAGAAACGTCTAACATAGCAACCGTTGCTAGCTAATTTCACCGCGTGCGTCTATTTTTAGCATCAACGTGAAACTGAACATTTTAAAAACATAAAACTCTGCATGAAACAGTCGAACGAAACAACATGATAAAGTTGACACAGGTCAAAGATATTATAGATACGTATTGTTGATGTAGCGAGATTGTTTCCCCGCGCACGCTGCGCGCGCCGACGGGCCGAGGCGAGAATGAAGATGTCAGGAGATTTGAAGAGTTTTTAATCAAGTTTAAAATATGATAATTGTATGTAAATACGGCGTGGATCGCCGGCGCGCCAGGCGTGCGCGCGCGCTCGGCTATTAGTATAAATAAACACGATGCACGTCAAACGCAACAATGAGAACAACGACTACGGAAAATTGCTTATTAGCGTCCGGCGTTCATGCCATGACGCGCACGATGCCAACGCCTTTGAATAATCATCGTCGCGCTCTTTTCCTTCGGCGCACATAATTTAACCTTACACGGGATTAAGATTATAATATTCTTATTATGAGATATTAATACGTTATACGATAATTCAATTAAAAATAACCAGTGCAACACATATACATCTTCAGCGTAACATAGGCAACCAAAAATACATCAAAAACATCAAGTTGTAAAATAAAAGCTAAAAACATCTAAAATAACCAGTGCATAACTTCAGCCTAATAGACGCAACCCAAAATACACTAAAAAACATCAAGTTTCAAAATAAGAACTAAATCCAAATAAAAATAACCAGTGCACATCAATTCAGTCTTCAGCGTAACATACGCAACCCAAAATACACCAAAGATCATCAAGTTGCAAAAACCAAACATAAAAATAAAAACCAAATCGCGGGTGTTTAATGAAGATGAAAAGATACACCTTTCGAATTGATATAGCACTTGATTTATAATTAAATATACAGTGTGTTGTGTAAATGCTTAAAACCAATAATAAAATGTATCTACCTGTAGGTGAGGCTTGAACATGGGTATAAAAATCAATGCAGCTCGGATGTGATCTCTGGTCATCTCGTGCAACGCGCCGAAGAGTTGTTGGTTGGGTCCTCGGCTTGCGATCGAGCGTGCAGCTTGTTAGCGCGGCACCCATCACCCGGAGATGGTTTATTACCTGCTGTTCCGTGGCTAACCAATTATACAGTGTCTCTTCTGACAGGTTTAATGTTAATATACACAAAAGTGGTTTGTTAATATGTAATAGCCCGCTTCGTTCAGCTATTTAGCCGGTTTAAACCAACTAAGGTTCAAATTTTCCAGAACCGGACTCAAAATATTAAAATTTTAAACTTAAATGTTAATATTTTAATGTTAACAATAAAAAACAAAGAAAAATTCAGTTGAAAACGTGTTAAATTAGTAAATATTTGAAAATTTATAATTTTTTATTAGTTTTTTGTTTATTATTCATTTGCTTGTTGGTTTCTTTCATTTCAGCATGAAATATTTGACGTGAATGCAGCAGGAGGCCGGTCCACTTTATTACCACGCGAAATTTGTTTGTAAATTTTTATTTTTTGCTCCTGATGCGGTTTTTTTTAAACTTAACCTCATTGTTTGGCTATATTTGCCTAGCTGTCAGTCATAATCAGTTAATTACCATCGGTGTGCGACGTGACTCGTGCACAAAATACGAAAATTATTAATTAATCCAAACTCGCGCGCTGTCAATAATGCGCATACGTAATGGCACAATGGCGAATCGCGCCACGTCACGTTATTTAAATTACGTTATTACGTTTACGTCGCGCTTAAACAGATAGCCGGCGACGCCGAGCGCACTTATCTTAATGCATCCATCTTGATATGAAGGCTGATGCGGAATAATTAAATGAATCACAGCGTAATCTTAAAATTGTTGATAAAATAAACTTCACGATCAAATTACTCGTGTTCGGCGTTTATTTTTAACGTGATGGGCGCGCGTTGTTCGAGAAATTGCGCTCGATTTGTTATTCTAAATAAAGTCATTTTGCGCCCAAACACAGCCATCGCATAATTATGCCAACAATGGTTGTCGTCAGCGCGGGTTTATTACATTGTGTTATTTTTGGTTTGCAATGCGATATTAAAATAATCGAACAATGAGCTATCAAGCACGAAACTATGTTTAATAATTTCGGCTTAAAAGTTATGACCAAAAATTGAAAATATCAATATTTTCCCATCGCTCAGATGCATATTTAGTCAGTGGGCGAAAAACTATTGTGTACAATTCGCATTTGAAATTCATTTTGGTCGCGTAAAACATTCGGATTTATGATGCAGCGAGGTCCGGAAAGCTCGATTTCACCTTGTGTGCTTATGGAAACAGATCTTTCACTCTGTTCCCGCGATACTCGCGCATTTGGCTCGAACAAATCGCACAATTCCTACCGACATCTCTCATTCCTCATTCGTCCGTGTGGTGCGCTTTATGGAAATCGTCGATGTGTGCGCGCGCGCATTGTGCGATTTCTGATTTGCATGTGCAAGGTGGTTGAATGCGTATATATTTCTATAGCCATGCGAGTATGCGATATGCGCTCCGGTGTGTTTTATTTAATTGCGCTTTATGGACGCGACAATTGAACCATCAACTCGTTTCAATCAGATATTATTTCAGCGTTCGCGCGGCGTGACATCGCGATTGTATAAATTTCTCTCCTTCGCTGCAACCACAGCCGCACCACTTGGTTATTGCTATATTATATTCTCGCCAGCGCATTCTCTGTAATTCGATATCTCGGGAAACTTTAATTAACATAACCTAAACTATACATAGGCAACTCAAAACACACCAAACGCAAGGTGGCGTTATCTATATATATAAAATTTACGTGTCACAGTGTTTGTTTCCATACTCCTCCGAAACGGCTTTACCGATTTTTACCAAATTTTATATGCGTATTCAGTAGGTCTGAGAATCGGCTAACATCTATTTTTCATACCCCTAAGTGATAAGGGTTGTTCACCCTTAACTTTTTTTTAAATTTTTGGACAAATTCTTTTGTTTTTATTTTTTTTTATAATGTGGAATTAAAAAATACATACAACCCTAAATTTTTAGTTTTTTATCACCAACCCCTATTTCTTTATAGCCACTTTAGTAATTTAATCATTTTTCATCCCGCTCAAAGAAAATTTTTATATGCGTATTCAGTAGGTCTGAGAATCGGTAACTTCATATCTCTAAGTGATAAGGGTTGTTCACCCTTAATTTTTTTTAAATTTTGGTCGAAATTTTTTGTTTTTGTTCTTTTAATGTGGCATTAAAATATACATACCACCCTAAATTTTTGGTTTCTTATCACCAACCCCTATTTTTTATAATAGGTAAGTAAGTTACTTTTTGTCTACACTAAAATTTATCTAGAAACTAGAAATAATTTATATGGCAAAACAACGTTTGCCCGGTTAACTAGTTTAATATAAAAATAAATCGCAAAATTATTTAAAAATTACAAAACATGAAATTCAACTTTATAATATCACAAATCTATAAAATATATAAAAAAAGTTAGTTACACAACTTATAACTCAAGAACAACTGCACAGATTTTGATAATCAATTATTTCTTGCATATGAATCCTTCTCCAATAGCAGAATATGTACTAAAATATTTGAAATGGAGAATTAAAAGGTATTAAATCAATAATATAAAAATAAATCGCCAAATATGTTGGTAAGCGTATAACTCAACAACGCCTAAACCAATTTGGCCAAGTATTTTTTTAAAATGTTTGTTAAAGTCCCAGGATGGTTTTTACAGCGAGAAAAATTCGAATAATTGCCGTGTAAACCCTAAAACAGTCCTTTTCTATAGGATAAAAGTTGGCATTGGGATTCAATCATAGTTATAGTTAAATAGTTGAATCCGAGATGGCGCGCTGAAGTGCATTATTAGCAATTCTTAATTTAATTAATTTCTTTAAAATAAAATTGCGCATCTTATTGATAGAATTAACACATACTATGTCTAGAACAAGAGAGTAAAAACAAATTACATTTTTATTAAACACTACCATGACAAAGTCGCAGCCAAAAGCTAGTATAAGCATAAAATTAATTTATCTATCCGTATTGTATGCATTTTTGTTATTTTGATTTTTATTTTTATTCTCTGAGAAGATTCGAATGCCCGTGGGTAGATCGTATCGCGTCTGCGCGCTCGCCGGTTCCCAATGGAGGTGTCGCCTCCCGTCGCGCGCCATTCAGCTGTTATAAACAGGCTACCAGCTCCCTCGATATATTAGATTACCTCGACAATATTTAATAATGATTAGGCTCATTCACGACCTCCACAGACCCATAGACCCAGCGCGTCTCGCTGCTATATATGAAGATATCTTATTATTATCCAGAATATATTCTCAAACATGTTTATACCTGCCTGGGCACCATCATTCATCATGACTTTTACACGTTTTACAATATTTCACGCGTTTATCTAAACACAACCGAGTAAAAGACTTGAAAGTTTCGAAATTTGTTAAGTCACGTCATAAAATTACAAGTTAATTAATTAAGTGACCATTTTAGGTTATGATTAGTATTGCCATGTATGCATAACCTCACTTATGTCAACTTATATTCTGAAATTGAATGCGTTCATTATAATGTTATTCAATTATGTGTGATGGAAATAAAAAAAAATCAGTGTCAAAACATGAATGAAGGAAAATTGATGGTAGCACTGAATAAATACGACGAACAAAGCGTTTGTTCTGATTTCGCCTTGACTTTGATGATGATGATGTTTATAGATTGCTTATAAAGTGTGTTTTGATGGCTTGAAGGTGTGATGATGTTGCACATTATTATTGATATGTAATTAAATAATCAAGTTGCATTTACATAATTTCAAATGATTTCAATAAATTAACAATTAAATCAGCAAATTATATTAAATACTTCTTTATTTTGATGTATGTAGTTTAAATAAAATTGCAAAACAAATTAAGTCATTTTTTAATTATAATTGTGTGTTGAAAGTTGTACAAGTTTAATTTGATATAACTTTGTTAATTAAAGTCACTGGGAATTGATTATGAGGCAATTAAAAAGGAAATTTATTAGTGTATAAATCACGTGAAGGAGAAATGTGTAGGTATTGTTGTTTTTAAATGGTTTGTGAAAATGCCAAAGTTGTTTTGAGCTTAAAAGTGGGAAATGCTGTTTTGTTAACTTCG